TCAAACCTATCAGACCATCAGTTCAAATCTCTCAAACTCATTGAACTCACCATTAGAAAGGCAACAACAATTCAATCAAAAATCCATAAACCCTTAAATCAGCTTTAAACACATTGAATCACATATTGAAAACACTGAAGACAATACTTCATATACCTTAATTACCGACTCTAAGCCTTTCTCCTTGATTCTCGGAAATCTTGCGAAGCTTTTTCCTTAATCCTCTTTCTCAGAGCTCTGGTCTCTATTTCTTCCCTTTTCACAGTCTAACAAGAACGAATCCTAATTCCCTCAAAATTTCTTTTTGTTAAACCTAACCTTGGGCCTTAAAATTGGGCTTTCCAACTTCACCCTCACTAACTCCTCCTCAAATGTCTATTTTGCCCTTAATTCACTTATATTTATTTAAATTAATAATACCAATATATTCATATTATATACTATTATTTAAATAAATACTCAAAATCCATAATTTCCAATATTCACACCAACACCGAAAATCACCAAAAATGCGAATATTCATATTTAAGTAAATTAAATAAATATTCCAAGAATTTTGGGGTGTTACAAGAGAGACATAGATAGATAGATAGATAGATAGATAAATAGATAGATAGATAGATAGATAGATAGAGAGAGAGAGAGATAGAGAGAGAGAGAGAGAGAGAGAGAGAGAGAGAGAGAGAGAGAGAGAGAGAGAGAGAGAGAGAGATTCCAGAAGAGAACATACAATATGTCCATAGCCATTACGTGAGCACGCCCTCGTTCTCTCATTATTGTACAATTAACAAGAATAATTGGCACCCATTGTGGGCCCAATGTAAAACTATCATAGGCCTCACCTACATTCACATTTGAAACTACCTCGACTACCATCCTCAAGATGGTACGAACACAAGACGCCACCTCAGTAGTAGGAGTTTAAACAATAACCACAATTTCATAGTAGAAATGAAAGTTGCGCCACCACAACCAAGCTTTGAAGGACAATGTTGACAACTTTAAAATTTTTTTGTAGGAGGCCGATCTGTCGAATTAAATCAAAATCCTTGACCCATAGCCTCACTCTAACGAAATTTGAGGGTGGAAGGCGCTTTATTATAGAAACTACAAACTCCCATCACTGACAAAGTTTGATGAAAGGAGCATCCCTTAGGATCATGTCACCTTCATAAACACACATATGTATATCATCGATGCCAAAGATTCGTTAAAGTGAAATTTACTCTCTAGCACCTTTGCGGATGTCGGGCTAAGGTGGTATATGAACTTACCTCGTTCGTCTATCATTAGTTACCAAGACTTGGTGAAGATGTTAATCCATTAGCTCTTTGCAAAAAAAACATCAGAAAATGTCAACCTCAAGCCTCTTAAATGTTCTTCTATGGTCCTCTAAGTTGTTGAGGTAGTATCTTGTTGAGCCTCTGGTCTATTCTATAAAGCTTCAAAAATCATTTTATTGTCTGGGTTAACCACATGATTTATAGCCTCAATAAAGTGTTGTAGATAATCCTTATATGAATTTGAACATGCTTATCATTAGAGATGGGAATAGACAAGGACAATCCAGGCCTTAGAAGGCATGGGCTTGACCTACGATAAATTTTTAAGGATTGAGTCTAACCTATGGTCTATTATAGGCTTTTTTTAAACTTGGTTTGGCCTTTTTAAAAGCCTGGCTTAACTAGAAAGCCTATTTAAAAGCACGTTTCACATTAAGGCGTTCAAATAGTTCATTTTACCTATTTTTTTAAATAGACAACATGACCTTATATATAATATTTAACATATTTTCTAGTAGATATACATATATAAGTTGACTTATCTGGCTTCATAGGCTTTTCTAATAGCCTAAGTCTTGCCTATTTTATTAAATATGCTTTTAAAAAAGTGTAAGCTTGGCCTTTTTTTTAAATTGTTCAAGCAAAACCAAGCTTAAATAGGTCAAACTATAGGCCCCTGTAAGTCGGTATGTCTTATTTCCATCCCAACTTATAACTAACCAGGCACATTGTTCTACCTTAATACAAGATACACACAAATATGATACATCACAATGTACATACAAATATAATACAATATAGTGTACATATAAATAAGATATTATACAACCTTAATTCAAATGTCGTTAAAAATGAGAAATTTAATCCTTGGTTGCTATGGTCTTTTCCTTGTTAACTACTAATTCAAATTTATTCTGGGGCAAATACCTAAAAGATGAAAAATTTATAGGGTATTTCTCCATTAATTTTGCCTTTAATTCTAGAATGAATGCCTCAGTCACATTCCATACAATATGTAAACTCATCTTACCCTCTAAAGATCCCCTTAATCCACTGATGTATCGAGCTACCTTCTGACTATTTGATTCTCCTCTAAAGATCCCCTTAATCCACTGATGTATCGAGCATTCTTGTAAACTCAGTTGTGTATTCTCTTACAGTTCTTTTTCCTTAAACACACTCAGTATACATTTTATAAAGAATCTACTTATATTGCTTTGGTAAAAACCACTTTAGCATCAATTGTTTCATTCTTCATCAAGATCTGATCGACCCTTTTCTTTCCCTCTGCCTCTGAATAACAAGTTTATTGCACCAACAAACATTAGTACTCTTCAGCCTGATTACCACCATCTTAACTTGATTGTTCACCAGGACACTCATGACGTTGAAGAATCTATCAACACCAAAGATCCGAAATCAGAATGACTGTTATTATAACTTCCGGATATAGAATCAAGTTTAGAAAATTGATGTTGATAAAGTTTTCAACGTTATGGGCGTCCCAAAGAACAAATGTTTGTTCAAAAAGGAGAGTCACTACTCACTGTTGTTGCAAAAGAAAGGGAAAAAGAAGAGGAAAGAGAAAGACATGCAGTTGATAACGATGAATATATAAGGGTTGAGTTTGTAGAGAAAAATCTAACAATAGGGTAAATTTTGTGTTGCATAGAATTTTACTAACATCCAGAGATGAAAGGCAACACAAGAATACATTTAAAACACATAATTCTATCAAGATCAAGGTCTGTAATCTGATCTTGGATAGTGGCAACACGGATAATCTGGTGTCAGCAAAATTGGTAGATTATGTGAAGTTGTCCACAAAACCCCATGAGAATTCTTACACCCTCAATTGGGTAAGTAAAGGCTCCCAAGTCTGAGTAACACTAGTTGCAGAGTTTTTATCTTCATCAAAAAACATTACAAGGAGGAGGTACTTTTTGATGTTCATGATATGTGTGTTTGTCATTTCTTACTTGATAGGCATTGGCAGTTTAATAATGATATCACTTATAGAGGACAAAATAACATGATGATGTTTACATGGGGCGCACATAAAATTGTTATGGCTTCTGTTTTGCACTTTGATTTGAAACCAAGGGAAGAAGTCTAGTTTCTTGGTGATGAGGTGGAGTGAAAAGAAGCTTGATGAGGCTGTTAAAAAAACTTAATTTTTATGTCCAGTGGCGATTAAAGGCCTTATGAGTGTTGTAAAGGAGGAAACAACAATTGCAGAAGAAGTGTTAGGGATCCTAGAGAATTTTAAGGAGTTGACTGCAGATGAACTACCAAACGATTTGTCTCCTATGCGAGATAAATGTAGGAAAGTTAAAGTTTTTAATGTGGGAGACGATGTGATTGTGTTTCTACGTAAGGAGATGTTTCCAGGTTGTACTTACATCACGCTGCAGCCGTGCAAGTATGATCAGTTCAAAGTAACCTGAAAGATCAACGCTAATGCTTATGTGATAGCTCTCCCAAACTCCATTAATATATCCAATACTTTCATGCGTGTCAAACAGATGCATCTATTTATCAAGAATAAAACTCGAGATCGAGTTCTTCAGATGTACATGATACTGATGTAGAAAGACTGACTGCATGTATCGATGAAAAAGTCATACATCAGAAAGGTTCGGCGGACTTTGTGCATATTTGGTGTTCGATATTAGAATGAGTATTATTGAAACTATCAGAGTTTGTTTCAGATCCAAAAACGACATTTTTAGTTTTTTATTTTATTTATGTTTTGATTAAAAATCTATCATAATTACTTTATTATATATTTAAACACTTTTGGCATAACCATCACGATTATCTTTTATTATAATCAAATTCATTTATCTGATAAATTTGTCATTTACGAACTTTTTATTCAAATTTAACGTTTGTTAATCCACTTATTCATGCTAATAAATTTTTTTAAATTGCTTCTCTTTTATTAACATTAACCAAGTACTCAGAATTGGAAGTCAAATAATCTTTAATCCTGAACATGGTAAACTGGAGATCATTAAATTCAACCACAATTCTACTTCAAATTTATAGTTACTTCTAGTGGAAGAGTTTATCAAAAAAAATTTCCATTACTGGAAAGCATAATTGACCCGATGTTCAGCTATTAATGGTATTACAATTTCAGGAACATCCTAGACAATGGGAGTAACAATAACAAAAACAAATCTACTCCTACAAAACTCCATTATTATAATGAAAAAAAAACCTAAAGTCTGATATACCAAAAATTTGGTCTGTCACAGTTGGATAGAAACTAGAGCAACAAGACCACGTGGCAAGTTCAAGGAAAGAAACGTGTCTAAGAGAGGCTGATACACAACCACGAACGAAAATAGCCAAAACTAAACCAAACATGACACAATTTCACACACAATCTACTACTTAAAGCAACCGCAACCAATTCCAACACCAAAAGTCACACATTACGTTCACAACAACACGCATCTAAAACACACACAATTATTCAATCAATACTCTCTTGTTACTTTTATTATCCTATTTTCAAGCTTAGAAGCAAAAGCTAGACAAGAATCTCATACATCAGTAGTAACAAGCAAGCGAAAGAGTAAGGCATAATAAAACGAAGCTCTTTCATATTCATTATTCGTCGAACAAGACTCTTTTATTGTTCTTTCAGCAATCACGTAACCTTCATTCTTTTGGAGTCCCTGAAAATTGGATCTAGCTCAGGAAAACATGGATACTCTAACGAGTGCTCCTTTGCTTACTTCTAAGTTCAAACCTTCGTTTTCTCCTCAACAGAAAACACTTTTTCCTCATAGAAGACGGTTTGAGAATTGGAAGAAGAACCAATCAATTGTTCCTGTATGTTTTTCTGTTTTTTTTTTCTTCAATTTTTCCTACAGTAAGTGTTTTGTGGATTTTAATGTTACTCTGTATGTGTTGGCTTTGTTTGAAACAGGTAGCTAGGTTGTTTGGACCAGCTATATTTGAAGCTTCGAAACTTAAGGTTTTGTTTTTAGGAATTGACGAAAACAAACACCCAGGAAATCTTCCTAGGACTTATACGTTAACACATAGTGATGTAACCTCAAAACTCACTTTGGCGATTTCTCAAACCATAAACAACTCTCAGGTATTTCTCTTGGTTTTCATTCTTATCATCATCATCATCATCATCATAAACCTATCTTCCTAAATCATTGTTAACTATATGAAAAGTACAAGAAAAGAGGATCATGAAACAGAGTTGAAGAGGTGCACAATCACATCTTAGTATTGATTTTTAGGGATACAAAAGTATGCTACAAACATGTGAATTGGATTGCAGTTGCAGGGATGGTACAATAGATTGCAAAGAGATGAAGTGGTCGCGCAATGGAAGAAGGTGAAGGGAAAAATGTCTCTACATGTTCACTGTCACATTAGTGGAGGCCACTTTCTTTTAGATATCTTTGCAAGGCTTAGATACTTCATCTTCTGCAAAGAGTTACCTGTGGTAAGCTTTTTTTTTTTTTTTTCTCACCATGGTGTCCGTGCTGTGTCTGGTGTCTGTTTTTGTTGTCATGTTTGAATTTGATTTAATCATAATTTTGTGTTTTATTTGATTTGATTAGGTGTTGAAGGCTTTTGTTCATGGTGACGGCAATTTATTCAACAACTATCCGGAATTAGAGGAATCATTAGTTTGGGTATTTTTTCATTCAAAGATTCGAGAATTCAACAAGGTAGAATGTTGGGGTCCACTAAAGGAGGCTTCACAACCTACTAGTGGGACCCACTCTGATTTGAAATTGCCCCAATCTTGTGAAGAGGATTGTGAGTGTTGTTTTCCACCGTTGAATTTAAGCCCAATTCCGTGCTCTAATGAAGTTGTTAATGACACTTATGAATCTATTGATGGAATTGAAACCCAACATGGTAACTTGTAAACACACGATACTCTTGTTCCTTCTTCTATAAGGATCTTTATTGTGGGGGAAATTCAAAATCCTTTTCGATGTAAATAAATAGATATAAGAAAAAGTAATGTTTGGGATTATTCTTTTAGTTTTTTTTTTTGTATGATTTTTTATTCATGAAAGTTAGGTCTTGTATTGTATTGTATTTATTTATACTAAACAAGTATTTTTATGTAGGAATTGAAAAGACATTTGTAAGGTTTTAAATTGCAATTATCAATTAAGATATAAAATTGTAATAATTTGTAAAAAGTATTTTCATGTAGGAATTGGAAAGACGTTTGTAAGGTTTTAAATTGCAATTATCAATTAAGATATAAAGTATTTTAGTTTTTTTTATTATGTAGGAATTTTGTTAAGTTTTATTTTGAGTTAATTTGATTGCTATCTGAAGTTTATTATATTAGATTTGCTACGACTTTATCTTTAATCATGCTCTAATAATATGTATCATTTTAGTTTAGATTCGTGTCAGAAAACACGAGTCTGTTCTAATAATTTGTATCATTTTAGTTTAGATTCGTGTACGGAAAATACGAGTCTGTTTCGAAATCGAAACCGATTTATTTGATTTAGGGGGTCGTAAAATACGAGTGCTGGTGAGATTTGAGTGAATTTACATAAATACAAAGATGAACGAAGAAAATAGAAGTATGTGATTGGAATAAGTTTTAAACGCTAATGAAGTGATAGCGTCAGAATTAACTTTTGAAAATATTTCTGACTTTGAAGGAGATTCTGTCTCTGAATTTGAGTCAGAGTTTAAAGGTTACTTTGATGTTGAAGATGAGTCTAAAGGAGAGTTTGATTTTGAAGGTGAATCTGGTTCTGATTTAGATTTTGATGATGATCCAAACTCTAATGATAATTATGCTTCTGAAGGTGGTCAATGCTTCTGATGGTGGGCTAATTTTTGAAGGTAGTTTAACATCTGATATTGTTCCAACATCTAAAGAAGATTTTGAATAAGTTTAGAGGTCACAAAGACTCAGATAAATACCAAGAAAAGAAAATTCATTCAGTGTGCCATGTTGGTAGACTCTGAACAAGTTAGTACTGAATAAGGTCTCAAGAAGAAAGTATGGTTGAAGGTCATGAAAGAAGAGCTTGAGGCTATAGAAAGAAACAAGAGCTTTTAAAGAACAAGAAATTTATCATTGTGTGATGGGTTTACAAGTTGAAACTGAAGCTAGATGGATCAATCGGAAAACAAAAAACAAGGTTAGTAGCTAAAAGATTTTTACAAAAATTTGATTTAGACTACTTTGATGTGTTTGCACCTGTAGTTAGATATGAAACAATCACATTAGTGATTGCTATAACTGTTAATAGAAATTGGCCTCAGATGCATTTAGATGTGACATCTGTATTTCTGAATGGCCATTTACAAGAGAAAATTTATGTGCCACAACCTCATGAATTTGTGAAAAAGAATAAAGAATGAGTAGTGTACAAGTTGCAAAAAGTCTTGTATGGACTGAAACAAGCTCCTAGAACTTGAAAACTGAAAATTGATTCATTTTTCAAGCACAAAATGTGAGATGGAGTATAATGTTTATGTTTAACATACATCTGACACCAATATGGTTGTGGTGTGTCTTTATGATTATGACATATTGCTAACAGGGAGTTGTTTAGATGAGATAGTGATAGTCAATTTCAAGAAGGTGCTGGTGAATGTGTTTGAGATGAATGATATGGAAAATATGATATTTTTTTTAGTGGTGGAGATTTTGTACTATAATAAGGGTATAATTTTGCATCAGGTGAAGTATGAACTTGAGCTTCTGAAGAGATTTGAGCTAAAAAATTGTAAGTTTGCAATCACACCCACTGAAACAAATCACATGCTAGACTCTGATGTTAAGGGGGATGATGTATATGCTAAATCTTTTAAACAGTTGGTGGGCTCATTAAGATATCTTTGTAATACCATACCGGACATCTACTATGCACTTGAAATGGTGATTGGGTTTATGAACAAACCAAAGTGGTTACATTACCAAGTTGTTGTCAAGATACTCAGGTATATTAAGGGGACTTTGAGGTATGAAGCTTTGTTCCGTTCTGGTGCTGAATCTAATTTAGAGTTGATTGCTATTCAGAATCTGATTGGTGTGGAGACAGAGTTGACAAAATAAGTATTTCTAGATATTTCTTCAAGTATTTGGGAGGTTCTATTTCTTGGTACTCCAAGAAACAACTAGTGGTTGCATTGCCAACTTGTGAATCTGGGTATATTGCATGTGTTTTGTTTGCGTGTCATGCTGTTTGGATTATAAACTTATTGTCGGATCTGAAGATCAAGGTGAACAAACATGTGAGGCTGATGATTGATAACAAATCAACTATAAGCCTCGTCAAGAATCCATTGTTGCATGGAAGGAGCAAGTACATTGACACAAAGTTTTATTTTCTGCACAATCATGTTCAAAATAAAGTGTTTGAAGTTTTTCAATGTAGCACTCAGAAGCAACTTGCAGATATGCTGACCAAAGTTATCAAGACTGAACACTTTATCCGTTTGAGGGATGAAATTGGCGTTGTTGATTTTAATTAGCGAAATATTAATTAAGAAATGATATTAGTTGTAATTCAGATTCAATTTCATTTAAAGTTAATTTGGTTTGCGTTTAACTTAGTTCAGTTTGTAACAAAATTTTATATTGTAATTATTTTGTTTATGAGATTCAAAGTTACTTACAGTAGATTTCCTCTCTTCTATCTTCTTCATCTTCACTTTTGTACTCCAATAAATTTCTCTTTTGTTAAAGTTTACTTAGCGGTGACTTGATTTAAAATAGTGCTTATGAGTTTTTGTTAGCCGTGACTTGATTTGAGATGGTGCTAAAAGGTTATTGTTTAATTGGATTTTATGGTTAAACAATCTATTATGATTTGAGGATTTGAGATGGTGCTAAAAGGTTATTGTTTAATTGAAATTTTATGGTTAAACAATCTATTCTAAACTTATAAGCTCTTATACGCAGAATCTTTTGGATTTTGAGAAAAAAATAGACGTGTAAATTTTTAAAAAAATGATTTGATAGATTTTTTTTCAAGATTTAGCTTAAAGGTATAAGAACTAAGTCAAAATCTCCTTTGTGAGTAAAGGCAGATGCAATAAAATTTTAATAAATTACGATAAAATTTACTTCTTGCGACGCTTATTACTTTGTTAAGAATTTGTATGTAAATGTTTGCATGACTTTGAATCACACTCATCTCTCGTGTCAATTAAGATCGATTCAATCAGTCTAAAAATTAAGTTCTAATTTTAAAAAAATAGGCCTAAATTACAAAAATACAATTTTAAAAATTAACATTTTACACCTCTTTATAAAATATTAGATGTTTGATGATAAATTATGATTTTACACATGTTATCAAAAAATAAATGTAAATCTATTGCTTTTATAATTAAAAAATTAATAATTGTGCCTCCTAAATTAAAAAAAAGATTTATAATATTTTTAGTTTCGTATTTTGTTCGCTTGATTTATTATCTAACTGCCATTTAAACTCGTTTACATCGCCTTTCCTTCCTTTGATTTTCATATTATGTCATTTAGTCATGTTCTAATTATAAAATTGGGGGATGTAGGGTTATAATTGGGGTTGAGTTTTTGGATCGCTATATATGTGTGAAATGTTGCTAACTTTTGATTTAACATTTGTGTGTGTTTTTATATGAATCAGCGTGAGTTTTTGAGACTGAGATGGTGTTGATCATTCATCAATTTTGTGGATGAAAAGAATTTGATTGATAGGTATAGGTTTTAGGTTTTGGTTTTTGAAAAATTGGGTTTATTTTAAAGGAAGTGAGAGAAGTCGAACAAGTTTGGGGATTGGGGATGAAGAAAGGAAAGAGGATGTGTCGGGTTGGGATCTACTCCATATTTTTGTTCTTCTATTTTCTCCATTAATGTAGTTTTTATGTATATAAAATTAATTAAATATTAATTATATGTCACATGTCTTAGAAATGTGTGTTATTTACACACAAAACTATAATAATGGAGAAATTGAAGGGACAAAGAAATGGAGTGGATCCCAACACAAATGTGTCAAGATGATATGCCTAATTTCCCTAAGTTGTTTAAGTGCTAACATTGCACCGTGAACCTTATACACTCTTTTATTTAGTACTTGCACTCTCCTGTTTATTTTTTTATTGTGTTTAATATAGTTATTGCAAATGATTAGAAGAGATTGGATATGAAAATATTTTCTCACATAAATAAAACTTGATTTTATCTCTTTTATTATCATTAATATTATTTGTTTAGTTATTTAATTATCACAAAAAATATAATAATAATAATAATAATAATAATAATAATAATGATAATAATTTAAATACAAAAATGTTTTCTCACAACAAATAATCTTTTATTTGTCTTTATCGATTTTATATATTTGTTTATTTATTCCAAATTAAATATATAAATAATACTAATATTAAATTAATAAGTGAATAAATAATTACATAAATTTCGAAGACGACTAGAATCTTTGGTCTAACTTCAAGTGAGCTCTTCAAATCCTTGGTCCAACGCCAAGTGACTTTCTCAAACCAATTAAATTCGTATTGGCACAACCTAAATCTTTTCTCGAATAAACGTAACGTTGAAAATCTTTTTCTTAACAAAAGCGAAAGACGAGGAACTTTAGAGTCTCACATTCTCTGAAATCTTGGAATGATCGATCCTGAGGTACACATCTTGGGTTAGTCATTTATTCTTTCTTTCGTTTCTAAGAAACTTAATATAAACTTGGACAAAAAAGGACCGTTAGAGTCTAGCATTTCAATAGAACTCTTGAACAATCAGTTTTGAGGCATACATCCCGTTCTTATTGAGCGTTCATTGCCCATTAAACAAATTTAATAAATACATTAAATGAAAAAAAACATTAGAGTCTAGCATTCAAATGAAACCCCGAATACTTGGTCTCGAGGCTCATGTCTCGTTCTCACGGAGCATTCGTCATTCGCCTAAAAAATACTCAACACATCAAACTTATTTTCTCATCCCCGTGTGATCAAAAACCTTTTACAAAAGAACATTGCTTAATCCATCCTAGTGCATATACACACTATCCTTTAGCCTCCCTCGCGAGCGTATAAGCCAACGTTTAACCGTTTGAATGCAATCCAAATACTTGTTCAATAAAACAAACCAACCTATAAAATGGTGCTATAATATGGTTTTTAGTATGTCTTTTGTGAACTTAACATCAAATATTTGATGTGTTATTCTGACTTCAACTCTGTTATCAAACTTATCTCAGAGTCTGTTAATGTTTAGCATCACTATGCCCCAATTATTCACAACATTAAAGAATTTCTTTATACGAATTGACAAGTTCAAATATTGTATATTTTTAAGAAGGAAAATATTTGTACTGATTAACTTGCAAAATATAGAAAATAATGCAGCGTACCAATCTTTTACAATTTCTCATGTTGAAATCATCATTATCTTAATAAGACTTTATTTTCTAAATAATATATATATATATATATATATATATATATATATATATATATATATATATATATATATATATATATATATATATATATATATATTCTTTCTTTTTCCAGTGTAAAAAAATACTGGTGGGTACATAGTCGTGTTTGCTTAGTTTTAAGAAAAAGTTTTAACATGTCAATACAATTCAAACTCATCTCCCTTAGCAATTCATTCCATTCTTATTTAACCACTCTAACTAAGATAGCTAAGAATTTGACCTCTCAAATTTACAAAATAATAATTTATCCCATAGCCATATTTTAATTTACCTTGCGTGTTTCACGAATCTATTCATATGATGTGTAGGTTTTTAATCCATGTGTTTATTCACTCTAATTTATTCGTTTCCTTATAAACTAAAGTAATAACAATAACAACTGTTGAAAGAAAAGGTGTGCCTGCCAGTCAGCTCTACCGGCATATATACTCGACTTCACCGCGGACCCATTCTGCCGCACCGGTTTTCCTTAACTATCATCCGAATTCATAATCATCGGGTACTAAAGTTCAATTATCACTTTTCATTTTCTGCTCTGTTTTTTATGTTCGTGTCTTCTACCTGTTTGATGAAATGCACAGCTGAAACAAAACTTAATTTGTCCTATCTTTTAACTCTAGTTTTTATTTATTTGTTTGAAAATGGATTTTTTAACTGTCTTTTGAGAGAGATAGGGTAGAATAACAGTAAAGTTAATGCTAATACTAATACATGTTGTTTGGGAAGGTTTGAATGGCGAGTAATGACGATGCTGTGAAAGAGGCACAGATAGTAGATGCTCGGGCAAGAAACATTAGTCACAATGTGAGATGTACTGAATGTGGGAGTCAATCCATTGAAGATTCTCAAGCCGACATTGCCATTCTTCTTCGAAAGGTACATCCACTCTCACTTTCTCAATCTCCCACAGGCCACATTGCATTTATCAAAAGTGTATAGAAACATAATCAGAATAAATCGTAGGAGCAGCATACTGCAAAATTACAAAAATAAAAAACTACAAAGAGAAATACCTTGAAAACTTGTTCATCAAGGCGATCAGGTGAAAACATGGTAGAAAAAGTAAGAGTAGTAACTAAATGTTAGAAACCCTTTGGCACATGGCCACCAATCATACTCATCTTTTTCGTCAGTCACTGATGTCACTCTTAACACACTTGAAACCGCTAGTGCATGTACATGACCAGACAATGACTCTTTAAAACTTGCATCTGTACACCATAGCCACATGGAGGAATCTGACATAAAACACTTTTAAGTTATATAGGGTGGAGAAATAGATATAAGTTGAAGTGCACTACATTGAAGTTTAAATCACATTTTCATGTATTAGGTTAGTTGAAAAATGTAGTCCATCAAGTGAAACCGGCCAAACCGCTGGTTTTTACCTGGTTCTAGTGCAGGGCGGTTCTCATGACTGAACGGGACTGTACACAGTTCGGGTTCCGGTTGAACTGCTGGTCAGATTGGGTTTTGAATTCCTTGTTTGAATGTGAGCTATTTTGCTTTTATGTAAATTCTAAACACTCAAACAATTTTCCAGTTAATCCGTGATGAAATTCGTTCTGGAAAAAATGACAAGGAAATCTACAAAAAGCTTGAAGATGATTTTGGGGAGACTATACTCTATGCACCAAAGTTTGATATGCAGACAGCAGCTTTGTGGTTATCACCGGTAAATTTTTCCTGGAGGATTGAAAGCACTTGAACTTGTAACTTTTTTGGCAGTGCAGTTTATATTTGTACTGATTTTGATCACATGTGCTTTTGAATAGCTCTTAGTTGCGGGTGCAGCTGCTGGAGCATGGGCTTACCAAAAGCATAAACAGAAGACTAATGTTCATATTATGGCTCTGAACCTTGTTAGGGGTGTTCCATTGACCCCAAGAGAGAAGGAAACGATGCTTGATATTCTCACACCTCCTGCCTCACAGGGATTTAAATCACAGGAAGTTAAGACTTCCTTCTGGTGGAGGAGATTGGGTGGTCAATGATCACACTGACCAATCCGATTGTGGCTTTAACCTTTTAGGCAACTATGCCAATTTCGTTTGTGACTTTAGAGGACAGCAAAAGTAGTCAACTTATTACGACTATATATTAGATTTCCCTTTAGATGTTAATCCATAAATTTCCAAGCCTAGTATTTTAAATTTGTGTCACTGTCAGCACTCAATCTTGGTGCATATGTATACATTTTGTAATAATACAGATTTCATAGCATAATTTTCATGTCAATCCTTAAACTCTATTCCGGACTTGATATCCAGGATTTCTGGCATTGTGATTCTTTCTATTGACATCATATTTAGCAATCAACAGATAACCTCTATAACTTATTTGAAAGCTTCATAATTTTCTGTTTGCTAACACTTTTATTATGACCCCCAATGACATGGTAGATATGCATTGAAATTATGGATGTGTTCCTTCTGATTTTTGTTTTGTAGAATTGCGAGAAGGATGTATTTGCAAAAGGCATCATAGGAGCCGAATATGCCTTACAAGTAGACATATCAGATTTTAAGCAAATCACGGTGCCAATGTGCAGTTTATGCAAAGCTCTCATGTGTAGTTTCTAGAAGTCAGTGAAAATGTCATTGTGGCGTGAAATTACCCTTATCTTAACATACAGGTAAAGATCTAACTCATGTTTGTTTCTATTCTAATTTAGTGTTTTCATTTATGTATTGCATGGAGAATAGCTGGTTCAAGGTAATTGAATATTATGTTCTGGATGTTATGTTATACCATCCATAACCATTAATTTGTGCTTCTGGAACCAAAAACCTAAAATAATCAGTTCATCTTGATCTTCATAATTATTATATTTTTTGTTCTAGCAAAAATAAACACCATTCAGTACACCAAAATGTATAACTTGTGTGATAACTGATAAGCACTTTAATTTAGAGTATAAACACAAATTTCGAAAGTTTCAACCTTATGGAAAGATAAAGTTGACTGCAGGGGTAGGGGTCACATTACAAATTTATCAAACCAACAAAAAGGTGTCACAGTTTCTTTGCATTAGCTTTAAGCATCTGCTGAGCTTATGAAAATTTCATCTGCAGCAGATACAATAACTTATTTACTAATAGTAAAACCTAAAATACTAATAGAAAAGTGCTGTAGTTCATATTCATAGTATATTATAAAACAGAGTGGCTGGTCACAAAGATAGTGGCATGCCTTGATTCTTCAGTGGAAGTTGGTGCTAGCGGAATAAGTGAGTCCCACATTCCAATTCGAAGGAACAACGTTCCACGCAATAATAGTCTCTTTGGTAGTGTATGAAGTAATTCTGAAAGATAGAGCTTGACCACCTAGTGTTGCAAATGCCTGGTAAGACGCACCCCAGTTATGGCTCATTTTAATCCATCCTGTTCTGCTTCCTTTCACCATCATGCTTGAAATATCTCCTCCACCTCCCACATTCATCACATACACCAATAGCCAGTACCCATTTCCTTGGAAAGAGAATCTAACCCCTCCCTTCCTTTGACATGGAACCCTATAAATTAATCACCAAACACATTAAAGGGAGGTGTACTAACTCTTTCATACCAGGAAAAATTATACCTTTAGGATTATGAGTTTACCTGCGGTACATAACAGGGACGATACCAGCTTTCCACTGTGCTATTTTCATGAATGCAGGTTTGGCCATGTCAAAATGAACTCGTGGCGGATTACACCATCCACCATTATTGGAGGGCTTCGACCAGTTAGGAGGACAAAGATTGGTGGCAGTGACAGTGGTGAAGGCCACATTTTTGTTACATGCACTCGCTTGATAGCATTTAATCTGGAAACAACTACCGCACGCATAGCCATTGTTGAACAATGTTGAGCTTAAAGCCACTGTATCTGTTCCGTAACCATTCGAAAACAAATTCCCGTATCCACATGCTCCTCCTTTAAGAGCAAAAATTACATCAATAAGCAAAGTGAAAATTAATGATAATTTTGAGATAAAATATAAATATATACCCATGGTTTCAGAAGCAGTTTCATCTCCATAAAAGGTTGCATGAGCAAGAGACCATTTACTGGGTCTAAATGTCACAACAGCTACTGTTGGTTCTCCCATGAAAGTGAACACCATTGCATAAGCAATCAACATGAAGCTACGAGCTTGAAGAATAGATGCCATGGTTAAGTTTTCTTGGACAACTAATAGGTTGATTAGTTATCTTTGAATGCAATTCGATGCTCTTTGAGAATTACAAGTACATGTATCCTTTATATATGAAGTACAGTTCCTAACTCACGTTGTAGATTTATTGAAATAATTTGAGTCGTGATCCCACGATGAATTAGATAGTTTCTAAAATCTTTACAAAGTCAATATTAATATTTTTTACAAGAACATTAATATGGTACTAGTACATTGTACGTATGTCGGCGCCAAATAGAATTTTTGGTTACATACCTTATGAAAAATTAATTCTATTATATTTTTCTTAATTAAATAAAAGATGATTGATCTACGATTAATAATCCATAAACTCAAGACAAGGAAACAGAATATAAGTTAAAGGGCATTCTAAATTTTGTCATATATGACTGAAAAACGTGCGTACAAGTTACATAGCTTTGCATGCCGGGAAACGATTAGAAAACTCATTTTTGTTAGTGGTTATAACAATTACTACTTAATTAACGTTATTAGTCAACAAAGTTTTCAATAGCAGACTTTCATATTTAATGTTTAATGTTAGTCATATCCACTAATTAGTCAACTCTTTATTTTGTGTTAAAAAAAAAAGACAAGAAAATAAGCTAAACATGAATAAAACGTAAGGTGCAAAAATGGTGCTAGGGTTTCGGAGGAGAAGATGAGTGAATTAGGAAGTAATGGTTAGATGAAGCATCCGACTTAACCATAAACTCTGCAAAATGGTTGCATTTACATAGATTTAGGGTGATTGTGAGATGCTTATTGTCACGTAACATATCATTGATGTTTTGAATCAACACAATATATTTGTGATATTGTTAGTGGGAGTTTCAGCGAGGTTGATGCATTGTTGAGGAATATTTTTCAACTAAAGAGTATTGAACATTATTGGACTTCTTTTCCATAACAACATCTTTGTGATAGACATACTACATATTCCTCCAAAATCTTAAAGTGATAGGTGTATGAGTTCTCTCACTTATAAATACTCAACTATCCACATTTATAATCAATGTGAAACTCCAACTCACACTTGACTTTATTATTCTCAACACTCTTCCTCAAGTGTGAGTCCACAATACTTTCCCTCAAGTGAAATCTCTTTTCATCCACATACACTTGTATCGTCGTTGACACTCTTCAACGGGACACCTCCTAACCACCACCTGTGGGGAGTACTTTCGATACAAGTGAATTGGTCCTTCACTCGAACTAAAGACTCATGATACCACTGTTGGAGGAGATTTTTCAACTAGGGAGCATTGAACATTGTGGAACTTCCTTTCTAGAGCAACGCCTTTGTGAGAGACACACTAAATACTCACCAAGAGGAGAAGAAAATTCTTATCACAAAGGCAAGGGTTCGACAAAAGGCAAAGACGAAAGAGCAAATCTTGCACGTCAAGATTCAGATGATTATGATGATATGGTGGTTATGACTGCAGTTGCAGATGACCATGTCGAATCCAAGATCTGGTTTCTCGACTCAGGCTGTTCGACAACTTAGATTATGGGGGGTATGTTGAAATATTATATTAGATTTGAATATATTTAATATTTAAATATAATTCAAGTTGTGTTAACCCAAGCCCAATTAGGGTTTTTTATTTAGTTTGTTATTTTTATTATATATAAATAGTCATAGTATGTATCATTACTCATACGATTCAATAAATTATTATTTCCTTATTCTCTCTCTTTCTCTCCTCACAAAAGGTGTCTCACGCACTAACACGCATGAGGAAAAAAATCTCTATAACAAATAAAATCATTGAAACTCTTGTCCTTAGTGACTCAATGGATGGTAAAATTTAATGAGCCTGAGATGCAGTCGCAAATTCCTCTTTGCCAAATCTCTAAGGAGTTACAGACGACTCCACCAAAAGCATCTTAAGTGGGTGTTTTGAGGCAACGTCTATCAATATTTATGACAATGCAGTTAAGGTTGAGGAATTTTTTAGTCTAGTATATCCACGTTTATGATTGTTAAAAAAAGTAAGAAAAGAGTCAGTCATGTTACGAATAATTAGGGTAAGGCGATAAAGGGGAATAAGATCATGGGGGATATTAGGGATGCACATCAACTTACGACACCGTTTAGCCCGAGGTGATCGAAAAAAAGTTTGGGCGATTTGAAATGGGTCATCGGTTCAACAGGCTCAACTAATAGGTTGGGTTTGGGTTAATATGGACAATTCTGGGATCAAGAAATAAAATTGTGGGTATCCTAACCTACTTAAGTAGTTAAGAAAAACTACGTCATTTTAGGAATTCTTTTACTATTATCTCTCCCTCACAAACTCTATGTGATATATCACATAAACCCATTTCATAATGATTCTCTCTCACCCATTTTCTCTCGCCTATCTCACAAATCCTATTCAACCCCGTTTTTGATATTTTGTAGTTCTTAAGCCAAAACTAAGAAAAATAATCTACTTCATTTAACATAATATGTCTTAATAGATAATAATAGTTTTACAAAATATCAAAAAACTTCTCTTTACTCGAAAATTCAAAAGAAGTGGTTTCTTCGAGTATTTTGAGATGCAAATCATTTACAATCACATCAACATCAATGTTCTCTAACATATCCTTCTCAATTGATAAAGTTGCCAAGCCGTTCAATATATCTTGTGACATTGAGGATCTCATATAGGTTTTAATCAATATAAGTTTTGAAAAACTTATTTTCACCGATGCTACAGTCAGGGGAACCGTTAATAAAATTATACAATCAATTGATAAAATTGGATATCAATCAGCATGTTTGAAAAAAAATTAAGAATATCAATGGAGTGACTAGCTACCAGAGGGGGTAAACCGTTATTGACAATGCTTTACACTATGGGGAATTAATTGTTGTAGTCCCATGCGTGTGGAATTTGCGACAACAACCCCGACTTTATTTGTGCGTGTTTTACGATATGGGGAATTGATTGTTGTAGTCGCACGCACATGAAGTTATTGATAACACCCCTGATTTTCTTTGTGTTTGCTTTATGCCGTAAGGAATTGATTGTTGTATTTGTACAGACGTGGCGTTTGCGACAGCAGCCCAAAGTCTTTATGCTTGGGGCTATGATCCCTTTGGTCGTACCCCAGACTCACTAATACCTTACACAATCACAAAGAAATGAATATTTTAGAACTTTCAATATTTTATTCATATTTGAGAATTAATCTAACACCTGAGGAAGATGGTTATACCAAAATATCATATAATGTGAATAATAAAGGAAAACATTACTAGGCGGGCTAGCCGACGCTTATTCTCCCTGGTTCTCTTTTAGTTTGCTCATCTACTTAATAGGGGATGGATCTTAATGATTATGAGCCGACCGGTTAGGGAAGCCACAATGATTTCCATTGCATTACTTTCTCATTGGTCTCTATGGAGATCTTGATAGATTATTTTTGCTCCATCGAGATCGGAATTGACGATGATTGATTCCCCTTAGTGATTATGGTATCTTAGCTTAAGATGGAGCGATGAGGCTACGACATCAAAGGTGGATTTGAAGGGTCTTCTTGGAATGCAATTGTAGACGCTTTGCAAGGGATAACGGGGAACTACAAACTGACAGATAAAACTTCTTTTCCTTTTCTCACTAATATCATCGACTCGACGTATCCCCACTGACGGTTTGTCATGCCGTTGAATACCTTTATGTCTGAAACTTCATACAACTATAAGCTCTCTCTCTTCAGGCCCATCTTTTCAAATAGTTCAAAATACATGATATTGCACAAACTGCCCCCATCAACTAGAATTCATGAGACATTAAACTTCCTGAATCCCTAACATAGGTCAATTAGGGGTTTTTATCTCAACGATCTTTCTCTTTATGGTTCCCTTGGATGGAAGGTTTGCTCGGGGTGCTCCTCTAGTGATGGTTGAAATATGAAGGTGTTTCCCCTTATGGCCTCTTTATCTTCTCCATTGGTTCCAACATCTGCAACTTTGAGGGAGATTTACCCTTGGACAACTCTTCCCTTTCTCTTTTTCCTCCCTTCACGTACCCATACAACCGACCTCTCTTGATCAACCCCTTAATAGCATCCTTCAGCTGGATATAGTCGTCGATGTTATGGCCACGTCCCTTATGGAGGTGGAAATATTTGGTCTTGTCTATCATGGACAACTCTAGGATGGGAAAGAGGGCTTTGATTCCTCCATTTCAGAACTTTGTGTTGGCATAGTCTTAGTAGATTTTTTTCCCGTGAAGTGTTTAACGGTTGTTACAGTGAGAATCAGATATCAAACTATTAATTAACTTGAATCACAAATCTTTGAATGCACCACTGAACTTTGATTTATCCAAAGGAAAGGATAAAGATCGAAGAAAACCCTAATTGCATTGTAAAATAATGCAGGAGATCTAAGGTTCGGGGATTGGTTATACCTAGGGAAGGTGTTAGCATCCTAAGTATCTGTAGTACTCTACAGGAACCTCTTGTTTTATTATGTTATTTGTTATTTGTTAATGGGAAAGAGCTAGGGGTTTGTTTACTAAGTATGCTCGCCAAGACATCACATCTCGTGCCTATGTATCTTGACGAGAATGGAATCAGAGCATTCATAGTTCCCCTTAATAAGGGTGAGGAACTCTTGACTGTGGTCAAGGTTCCAAGGGGAGTAAGTGTGTATGGTAAGCCACTTACATAGAGTGCGACGACTCTAAACCTAAGGCTAGATTGAAAGGGAAAGAGATTAAGTGTCCATGGTAGAAACTTATATAGAGTAGGGTGACTCTAATCCCAAGGCTAGGATGAGAGGAAGGAGATGTCCATAGCAGGACACTTACATGGAGTGCGACGACTCCGATCCTAAGGCTAGGATGAAAGGACGGAACCTGAAGTTTTCCTAAGTATGACGTGACAGTCAAATAAGAGAGGATCCTTTCCTTTGGAAATGGGAATGGGCAACCAATAGAGTTAAGAGCATGGAAATGAACAAATAAACAACATAA